GTAGTAATTCTTTTAGAATAGTTTATTATTATCTCTTATAATAAAGGCAGGATTGCCAAAAAAAAAAAAAAAAAAAACTAATAAACAGTTTTACTAATTTATAGTGATACAACCTATTTTAATTATCACTTCTCAAAATCTTTCTCAAAGTATTTCTCAAAATTTTTATAATATTGTTTTTTAAATTGTTTTTCAAAATCATTTTTAGAGTTTTTTTCATAACTTCTCTCTAAATATTTATTAAAATCTTCTTCAAAATGTCTCTCAAAATCTTTTTCATTATATTTGAAAGACATTTTCTTATTCAACATCCATTTTTTATCTTCAAATATTAAATTTTTGCTAATATTATTATTTATTACATTTTTACTAATCTCTTTCTTAACAATAGCTCTAATTTTTTAAATTACTTACTAATAATAGCCAATTTAAACTTTGCAATATTCAAAGATTTCAATAAATAAAAACAATTTTTTTTGCTTGATTATTATTTAATCTATTGTGCAGTTTTGAGTAAATAAAGCCAAATAATGACCAGTTTCTTTTACTTGTAGCTGAGGTTGAGAAATAGAATAAACCTTAATAGCAACAGAACTAAGAATTGGATATTAGATTTTTATTAAATTCTACCAACTTAGAGGATTTTCTTTTATAGTACCCCATAAATAAAGCCTTGCAAATTTACCTGTTTTACTAATATGTTCTGCAAATTCTAATAAAACTTTATCTTTATTTGCTGATCCAGCTAATCATATAATTTCTTCTTTTATAATATGATTCTATTTTTGTAAATCAAGCTTTTTACTCTAATATTAAGGATTTAATTTGTATACAACTAGAATTGCTGAGTTATACAAAAAATTAGTCTACTATTTGTTTCCTAACTACAAAATTTCTTTATAAATAGTTTTAGAAATTTGCTGATTATTATATATACCTGCTCTTATATCAAGTAAATTAATATATGCTATTAAAAGTAAAGAATTACCTTGCTTTAAAAGATGAATAAACATTACAAATAGCTTTAATAAGTCACAAAGATAGTTAAGATCTTTTCAAAAGTTATCATTAATAATTAAAACTTGAATTTGACTTTCAATACTTAAATCATCTTCGGCTAAAATAGATTTTATTGCTAGTTTTGTTTGTAAAAGATGATCCATATATTCAAAGACAAAACCTCATCATATTTTAATTATTGTAGCCAATACAATTTGTTTTTCATACTTTTTTATTTGAAGATATCAAAGAGCTGCTAAAATAGTTTGATATAATCTAAAATATAATATAATTTTTTTGCAATTTTCTAAAATAGGTTTTGTCTATTTAATCTTTAAAATATCCTTAACTTACAAATTAATTGTATGTACCCAGCATCCTAAAAAGATTTTTAATAGATATTTGTTTTTAAGAATTCTTTATACTGATTTCATATTTGGAGCATTATCAGTAATTATATATTGCAATGAATTTATTAATTCCTACTTCTAACATAATTTTTTCAATATTTAATACTATATTATCTACAGTGTAATATTGTTCTTTTGTAGCAACTGATTTATAAAAAATAGGTTTTGGTATTGTTACTATATATTAATAATAGAATCATTATTAATATTAGACCAACTATCAGTAATAAGTGAAAAATACTGTGTTTGGTTAAATAAGTGTTGAACTATAATATTAATATCTTTATATTCTTGATCAAGTAATACAGTAGAAAGTACTTTACAAGGAGAAAGTTTAAATGCTAGACAAGTTTTTAAAAAAAAATTCTTCAATTCTCATTTTCTAAAATATTAAAAGAAACTCCTGATAAATAAAAAGCACATACAAATAAATTTTTTAAATTTTTTTGATCAGCTCTAAATAATTTATATACAAAATTATCTACTATAGCTTTATATTAATATTTAGTTTTAGAAGAAGTTGCATTTTCTACATTTTTTGCTAAAATAAGATTTATAATGTTCTTGTAATCTTGTTTCATTTTTAGCCTAATTATTTCCATATTTTTGACATTTATATCTTTTTTTTTTCTTTAAAATCTTTGAATATATCAAATAAATCAATATATTTGCCTTTATCATAAGGCATTATATGAAATAATTGTTATTATTTACAGATTATATTGAAGTAAAAATTAATTCTGAAACTAGAAAAAAGTTAAAACCAATTTATCAAAGGTCAAGTAAGAATAGTATATATAGTGGTTTAATATTATAAATAAAACAAAATATAAATTTCTTTTCTAATTATCATATATATTAAATAGCAAAAAAAATTACATACTATAATGAATAATTTATAACTTTACTTTTCTTAATATAATTAATTATTTAACTAAATTAGTATTGTAATTGTTAAAGTCTGCTTTTATAAAATTGTATATATATATTTAAAGTAGCTATGTAAGAATATGTCAAATAAATTATTATAATAAATAGCATAAATTAATTTATAATTTTACTTTTTTTAATAATTTAAACTAAATTACTACAGTATCAAAGCCCACTTGTATAAAGTTGCATATATATATTGATAGTTATATGCTAAGGAAAATTATTATAATAGCAGTAATTTTTATATATTATTGAGATAATGAATAAGTAAATTATAAACAAGTTAGTTAAAATTAAGATATAGTTTGAATATTTATATAATATAGTATAATAATTTAAGATAATATTACATTGGTACAGTAATAATTTTTGTAATTAGAAAATGCCATGAAGTGATATTTTCTGAATAATAAAAAAAATTATTGCTGCACTAGTGTAATATATCTCAAAATTATTATGTTATATTGATATATATATTTTTTTTTTTAACTCTTTGACAGTCTCGTCAGTACCTTTATTAAAAGATAAAAGAAATACATATAATATATTTACTCTAATATCCACATATAGCAGGTCTGGCATTACTCGGTCACATTAATATGCAACCACTAGCATGACCTGTTGCACTACCTTCTGGAAGAGGCAGAAGACCTTGTCAGCTCTGTCACGAGCCAAACCAGAATAACTTAGTACCATTTTTAATAAAATTTTTAATCATAACCTTCTATCTTTCATTTACAACCTCCTTAATATTTGAAATTTTTTCAATAGTAGTCATAGTCGAACACTGGGCCTTTTTATCTTGCTTTTTCCTTTTTCTTAGTTTTTTTCCCATTGGTTTTCTTTTCTTCTTTTCGACCAATATTATACACATCTGTTTTTCCTATATAGCTACATAATAGTATCTTTTTTTCTAAATAAAATCATAAAAGCTGTTTCGCCAAACATAGACCAGAGTTTTAATGCATGCCTTTAATTCTTTCTTAGAGTTTAGAAACTCACCCAAATTGTGGTAGGTATCTTCTGTACAGAAGCCTCTGACAAAGTTTTTTCTTGTTTCTATTTTTTGTTATATTGGTATTATAGTATAGTGATTATTAATTATAAATTATACTAAACTATTTATATTTTTTTTAAACTTTCTTTAATTTATATAATATAATATAAGTATAGATTATGTATATATCATGCAAAATAACAAGTATGAATAACAAAATAAAAAGAAAGTGATCTATAACATAAATAGTATAATACTCATAATCAATAGTGATTATGCTATATATATATATAATATATAATATATACAATAATAAATATTAGGGTTGGGATCCCACGGCCTAGTGGTCTAGGCACCCGACCCTTCACGAGCGGGTTTCGAGTTCAAGTACTAGTAGATACGGATTCTACGAATATTTGAATATACTCACTATGGGAAGTCCAAGTGAGTACAAGTCTGGATGAAGAGTTTCCAGAAGGCGGTCCATGGTGAA